TTTTTTATTTTGATTTGCATGTTTTAAGTGTAACTAGTTATAACAACACGTTGTTCTATCCAATCGTTATGACCCACGTGGAACTTGTTTTAAGTAAATTTCAATTTCGTAAATAGTAACCAATGATAATTAAACACGTATGACTAACTATTCCACGTTGGCTCTTACTCTGCCACGTAAGATAACTGCGATTCTTGGGCCTATTAGAATTGAAGCCTTAAAGGCCAACCTTATAACTGAAAGATAAATATGGGCCTAACAGAATACTTGATGGGCCCAAAATGTTGGAAGTGTAATTAACCGGATCAGTATCACAAAACTTGCATCTAATTTTTTTTTTGCTTCAGATTTTGGAAAGAATAATATGTTATGTAAAATAAATATTACTCTGTTTTGTGATTTTGATTTTGACATGCATCAAAATTTAAATTTAAATAATCCTATTAGTGGCACTTATAATAGGATTTACCATTGGTGGGGGGAAGCAAATAACATAAATACATACTAAATCTTATAGTGTTTGACAATGAAAAACGAATAACGCATGGATCCACAAGACGACAGATTTCATATTTTCTAGGAAAATAATACTAGCTATTTAGTTATACTATTGTATGTGTGGGGTTAGAGATAAGTCAAAATAAAGACAAGCACAAGCCTATCAGTCTACTGAAAAGAGTATCAGTTAAAAATATTTTAATTTACGCAGAATCCAAAAGGTTACATTGACACACACCTCGAGAACTTGAGTTCTCTTGAAAGGAAGTTTCAACAAGGTGGTTCAGTTTCAATTATACTTTATGTAAGAATTTTGTATTTTTATTAAAGAAAACAGTTATATATGAACGCATAATGTTGGTTATAAAATGAGTTTACTTTTGTTTTAAAACTTTTGAAGCGACTTTCTTTGAGGCTTTGAGCTGTTCTTGGGGAACGTTTTGTAGGGTTATTGTCAACATATCCAAATTTAGAATATAACTTTATAAGTGTAGTGATCGCATCACAATAGAATCAAAGAAGTGTCTAAAACAGAAAACCATGGATTTTAGAGAATTGAACATATATATCACAATATTCGATTTAAGCAATGTCTTCGTTAACAAACTTGGAAAAGCCTGAAGATTTACCAATTTTTTGAATGTCATTACAAGAACGAGAAAAAATAAACAACATTTACAAAACGACAATGTCGGAAATACATATCCATGCATGTCATGGTGGTATATATTATGTGAATTGCGATAATCATAAACATAGTAAAAAAGTACATAACATTCAATGTAAATTGATATGATGATGTCTTGTCAACCTTTGTCCCCACATTCCGACCGCTTCACAAGGGGGTACGGTTCTTAATTAGACTTGTCTCGTCAAAGGAACTTCCAATCCTAATTAAACCCAAAATCTTGTCCCCCCCACACAGTACCTAATTAAACACATAATCAACCCAATGGAGCAAACCTTGCGAGTTCTTGAGGCAAAAACGGACGACGACCCGTTTGGTGAGGGTGATGCTCGTTGCTCACTCCAAGAAAATCCCGGGTTAGACCCATCTGTTGAGCCGGGTTTAGACCCGATCGGTTCGATTGAAAGGGATTATTATCCACACTACTAGTGGAGACACCACTAAGAGGAGGAGGAGCACGATTATGATTCTCTCTTAAGACATTGGTGTTGAAGTTGTTTAGTTGTTGTTGGATCATCATTGGAGAAGACGATCTAGGAGGAGGAGAAGCGGTGGCCGAGGAGGATGTCATTGTTGGGCCGGCGAAGAATGACGGAGCGGTGGAGGAATTGCTTCTAGTAGAGCCCATTTGTGCAGCTTTTTGTAAGAGAGCTGTGGCAGACATTGGAGAGAGAGGCTTGTTTTGTTTGTTTTCGGAGGAAGAGGAGAAGAGTGGTGAGAAAGATGAGTCTTTTAGGGTTTGGTGTTGTAGTGAAGCTGAGGTTTGTTGTGATGTTGAGGATGATGATAAGGTGAGACTAGGGTTTGTGGAAGTCATTGGAATTTGGAATTGGTGGTGGCCGGAGAAATCAGGGAGGGATGATGATGACGACGGGAAGAGGTGGTGGTTGCCGGTGGAGGCCATTTGAACCATCTCGGATAGACCTAAATTAACGCAATTGAATTGATAATAGTATTATAACATATTCATCAAAAAAAAAAAAATATATATATATTTCATATATATGAATAACTAATTTAGAAAGAGGATTGGTATGTGATGTACCTTGCGCATGCATTGCACTTAGGTCATGTCCAAACCCTAGACCGAATTGAGAGATAGCAGCATTAATGTCGGGATGATGAACTCCTCGGTGTACAAATCCATGAGGAAGATTTGGATTATTCATAACATTTGACTCATTTCCAAAATTCAGATTCGTCGTAGAGATCACCGGATTGTTGTTACTAAGTGAACTCATCCTCGCTCCTTCCTCAGTTAATGCGTCGCAGAACGCTCTATGTGTGATGAAACTATCTTTCCTATAAAATAGAGATCGATTATTTATTAGATAATAAATAATAAAAATAAAGACATAATTATTTTAAGAGTGAGACAACTGCATTGATTATTATTCAATAGAGCATTGAATTTGAAATCATTTGCAAAACAAAAACATTCTTGGCCGGAGTAAGCATTTATTTCTCCTATGCAAACTCGCGACATGAAGACAGAAATAAACATAAAACTAGAAAAAAAAAGAAAAAAAAAACACAAAAACCTTAATTGTTACTATATACAAAAACATAGAACTTATATATATATATATATAATATATATGCATGTGTGTGTATGTGTTTGTTGACAAAATATATGCATGATATCTAGTTTCTTGCCATATGGTGTGAATAGAAGAAAAGAATGAAGCCAAATAGACATGTACACATACAACCACACAAAATGAATAGATGCTCATGCCATCAAAATCTCATCGAATATCATATACTCATAAAGTATGCAGCTATTATTTCAAAATCTTAAACAAAAATAAATAGAAATTGCTCCCAAAAGTCAGAATGTCTTCAATTAATGCTCTGCTCTATTCCAACTTTCGCAACAGATATAACAAATCACAAGACATTGCACACACATTCATGCATGCCGACACTTGATATATACACCTATATCTGTTTGAGTTTTTTACACAATTCTTTTAGGTTCTAACACTGTCACATGAATTGTTTTGCATTGCTTTCATCCGATATTGCTATATATGAATAGAATACCGAGTTCTAATACTTCATGTAGAAAAAAACTCAACTTATACATTAACCAATACCAACTGTTAATCTCGTTAGTAAATATTACCTGGAGAACAACGTGCCACAGTCACATTTATACTCACGAGTACCACAAGTTTTCGCATGTGCCTTCCAATCAGACTGAACAGCGTATTTCTTAGAACACTTTTCACACTTCCACTTCTTTTCACCGTGTTTGCGGCTGTAGTGTTTCTTGATCCCAGTGAGGTCTCCAAGGGCCCTGGAGGCATCATGGTGTACACAAGTCTTGATAGGACATATGTATACTTTCTTCTTTATCACTTCTTGTTTGGACCGTTGCTTTAGCTTCCATGGAAGGTTGTGGCCACGGCGATGTAGTTGTAAATTCTGGTCCCTTTGAAACCCTTTGTTGCAGATCTCGCACACGAATCTGTTTGTTGCCATGAGTGTTGTTGGCGATAGAGCGATGACATCAGCATCTGGATCTGTCCATATTTATGTTTAAATATGATATATCAACGCATATTTTGATCTAATGGCTCCAAATATGTTGTAGAGATTATAAATAAACAAATATGTAACATGACCATCCGGATACAGTAAAAGGAGGAAATATACATATAAGAAATATAGAGAGGGATGTATATGCATATGTGAATACTGAGTTTGTGATTATTTCAGCAAATAATATATATGGAGATGTTATTTTCATCAGAAAACAGATCTGCAAATATATGGAGCTGCTTTCTACGTCTTATGTATATGTAGAAATATAGACATACAAGTATCTATGACTCACACACATGCACATAGATTTGGGTATACATGTGAGTATATTATGGTGTGGAATGAGTTATACCTGGAGTGCCAGGTTGATTTCTCTTCTTCTTGGCTGATGAAGAGTTTGGTTTCGCATTTGGGTTAGGGTTAGAATTAGGGTTAAGGTCAGGGATCTGCTGCTGAAGATGATGAAGGTGTGTTTCTTGATGAACAAACCCTCCCATGGAGGATGAAATAGAAAATGGATCTCCTGGAATCATCTGCATATCTGTGTTTTAATTTAAAACGGATCGGAGCTAAAGAACAAGAACAAGAACAGCTGGGTTTTGTTTTTTTTATAAAATCTTGCAAGAAAACAAGAAGATGATCAGGAGGTTTATAACAGTATACAAACAAAAGAGATAGTTAATTAGGGTTTAATATGCTGAGGGGAGAAGAAGAACAAGAACAAGAGCATATAAGTTTTTTTTGGGTTTTAGGGCTTGAGAATGTTTGAATGTGCTTGACTCTTTGGTTATGCCAAATGACAAGAAAAGACCAAAGAAGATGAGGAAGAAAATTTCAAGGCACGAAAGTATACGTATATATAAAGATTATATTGAAAGAGGATTTGTTGTTATAAACAAAAAAAAACTCTTGCAGGAATAAAAGAAAAAATTGTATAAATAATGTTGAGAGATCTGGGAGATGTACATATAGAGATCTACCCTTTTTTTTGTAGTCGACCAGTAAATTATTTTCTAAAAGGGAAAGTGATTTTTTGTAAATAATTATTTTCTTCGAAAAGGCCAGTCTCTTCCTTTCTTGCAGTTTAGATAGACACACGTGCATGTGTACATCTATGGTGTGTTTATAAGTTGGGAGAAGGTATAAATATTTAAGGGATGTAATCTAAATTATATTTTAGATGATATTGTTATTTGAAAAATATATATCATCAATTAGTGTATGTTAATTAGGGGTGTCAAAATGGGTAACCCAACTCAACTCAACTCATAATCAAATGAGTTTAGGGTTAAATGAGTTATGGGTTGGGTCTATGGGTTGACCCAACTCATTTTGTTAAATGGGTTAGGTCAACCCATAACTCATTTAATTTGATGGGTTGAGTTGTTAAATGGATTAACCCATTTAAGTAATAATTTAATTAATTATTATTATATAACAATAATAAATAATTATCATTATTAATTCATTATCATCAAACTTAAGATATTTACGGATTCCACTTTTTACGGATTTACGTTTTTGGCGGAAAATTACAGATTTACATTTTTGGCGGGAAAATCTCGGATTTACGTTTTTGGCGGGAAAATCACGGATTTACATTTTTGGCGGGAAAATCACGGTGTTTAAAAGATTTACGTTTTTGGCGGAAAAATTACGAGTTTACGTTTTTGGCGGGAAAATCTCAGGTTTACGTTTTTGGCGGGAAAATCACGGATTTACGTTTTTGGCGGAAAAATCACGGGTTTACGTTTTTGGCGGAAAAATCACGGGTTTACGTTTTTGGCGGGAAAATTACGGGTTTATGTTTTTTGGCGGGAAAATTATGAGTTTATGTTTTTGGCGGGAAAATTATGGATTTACGTTTTTGACAGAAAAATCTCGGGTTTACGTTTTTGGCGGGAAAATCACGGGTTTAAGTTTTTGGCAGGAAAATCACGGGTTTATGTTTTTTGGTGGAAAATTACGAGTTTACTTTTTTCTCAATTTCATCGCTTGTATATTTAAGAAATTTGGAAAAATATTAATTTTATTAAATCGGTTTAGTTGTGTTGGTTAAACTTAAATTGGCATTGGTTTAGAGATTTTAGTTGGTTTAATTCAATTTTACAAAACTTGATGGGTTAATTGGGTAAACCATTGAAACCATTAACCATTACAACCCAATTCATTTTACTCATCAAACCAATTGACTCTTCAACTCATTTTACTCATCAAACCAATTGACTCATCAACTCATTTGACTCATCAACTCATTTGAGTCAAAATTTTGAACTCATTAGAGTTTACGGATTGAGTTGAGTTGACTTGACCCATGAATTTTGATCCATTTTGACACCCTTAATGTTGATGCATAATTTGATGATATTTTTGGATTTATTCTTTATTCAACTAAAATCTTCATTCACATAGATATAGTTTCAAAGGATTGTAGAGACAACATTTAACTATTACGGTCATAACTTTAAAGGGTTTCTTAGTTTCGGCATTTTATTGTTTTATGTTATTTGTAATAAGTTTTTTTTCTACAAATTGAATTTATTTATTTTTTTTTAAAAAACAATTTATATACGTACCAATATAATCTATATATACATTTTTGCAGCCATTTTAGCAAATAAATCTTCAAGTTGAAACTTATTTACAAGAGATGCCATTGCTATCAATTATTATCAATTAATTAATATTCCTAATTTGTAGCATTTCCTTATCTATTATATTTCCATCAATTTTAATTACTTAAAAAATGAGAAATCTTAGGACATTATTAATATATACTTGATTAAAAGATAAATATTATATTTAATTAAACATTTAAAATATTTAACGGAAAAATATTTTATAATATTTATAATATATGAAATCTATAAAAATTAAATAATCATTTGAAATAAAACTTTTAAATTGATGTGATTATAAATCTTTTAATAAAACTATTATTCGAACAAAAAATAAAAAAATAATATTTAATTTTAACGGTTGAGATTAGATTATAAGACGGGTTTAGAATATTTATAATATATGAACTTTAAAACAATTAAATAACCATTTGAAATAAAACTTTTAAATTGATTTGAATTATATATCTTTTAAAGTAAAGTATTATTAAAACAAAAATACGAGATGGTATGACGAGTTTTGGTCGATAGGTAATACGAGATAGTATAGCACGGGTGAAATCTATTAGATATGTTTAATTTCACTGAACGAGATTAGATGATATGACGACTTTGGATCGATAATAATACGAGACAGTATACCACGGGTGAAATTATATATATATATTTATAAATCAAAATATCATTATATTATTAAAACAAATATAACTAAAATTTGAATTATTTAGTTATAATCTAAATTTTAACTTAATAAACTGTTTGTTATTCTTTTTATATTTTTAAACAGTAAAAATTAAACATAGTAATTATATACTAAATAATATATATATATATAAGAGTTGTACATTTAGAAAATATAAAAATAAATTATATATATTTAATCTACTAAACAAATTATTTTTTTATTTTTTGAAAAAGATATAGCCCCGCGGTATACCGCGGGTTAAAATCTAGTTGTTGCATATTTTAGAAGCAGTAATCAATAACTATATATATATATATACTCCCTATATATAAACTAATTGAGATATATATATATCTTCTTAACAAATTTCATTTTATTCTTTATAAAACAAAACAATATCTTTTTATAAGGTATTTTGAGACTAAGAAACAGTAGCTCTTTATTTATTACTTATTTTATAAAAAATCTACGTTGATATGTACTAGCTATGTTTCGGATCTACATATTAATTTAATTGGACATAGTTTCAACTCCTATTTTAATATAAAAGGAAAATTTTATCCACCCAAGAAATTGTATTTGGCAAAGGAAAATGTTCTGTGTCCCAAGAACAAAGCATATAGGTAGATGCAAAAAGTTCCCGTTGTTTAAAGAGAGCACCATCTTTGACTCCCAAAAAGTTTTAGGAACTCAAAAAAGCCTTTTTGTAATTTGTATTTATTTTTCCACTACTTTTTATATAAAGATTTTACAAAACTTGGAAGTACAAATTACTCGTAAACAAAATTAAAGCCAAGAAAAGTAATACGAAGAATTAAACGTAATTTAGTGTACACCCGAGAGAAGTCAAAATGTGATATCGAACAATATATTGGCACTAAATCTAACCTCTATTTTCACTAATAAATAAATTCAGAAGCGATGAAATGATAGTCTAGTAATAAACTTCACCTAGTAAAACATGTACATCTTTGTTCAAAAAATAAAATAAAAACATGTACATAGTTAGCCAAAATCATAACGAAAGTTTTGTTAGAAGTAGAACAAGCATGGGTTCATTGACGATTGATTTGTTTTTTTCTTCTAATTCGAGCACCCAAAAAAAGAGTACAAACAGATCTGAAATATGCGATTGATCATGTGCTTTGGACAAAATAAAATTATTGGATTTCTTGAATGGACTACAAATTATTTTCTTACTCATTCAAGTGTGATCATCTTTTGCTTTTCTTCTTTTGGTTTGTGCAATCGAGGAAGTTACAAGAAAAGGGAATTGCCTTTAAGGAAATAGATCAAAAGAAATGATTAAGGCATAATTACAAGTTGGACCAAACATAGCATGTTGCATGTTATTTGTGTAATGTGAGAGAGAGAGAGAGGATCTTTTGGCATTTCCCGATGAAGACGATAGGACAGTCCGTGACGCCTGTCTCTCTGTCTGTAGGACCCTCTTTTTGGAGCTATGATTCTCATGCACATTGGTCTTCTATTATCATCCCTTTGAATCATAGTTTTTTTTATTCATCAATCATCTTCAGTCATATAGAAGCTCATGAGCATATCAGTCTTCTATTATCATCCTTTTGATAATAGTGACTGTGAGTCTACTATGAATATGATTTTGGATTCAAGTCTAATAGCGATGGGTTTCTTAAACGCTTCTAGTTCCACTTGCTAGTTACCAAATACAGTTGACGCATCACAATATTAAGATAATGGGTCTGAACTTTCTAAATAGCAAAAAAAAGAAGAAAAAAGATGTCTTGAAAAAAGTATAAATATTAACGCAGACATACAGATATATGAAGACCGACCGTAGTTTTTAATTTTTGTTTTTTTTTTTCTTATGAAAGACGATTGTCTAGATATTAAATAAAATGAACTAGTAGTACAATAATTATCATATATTATAGATTAGATTAGATTACATTAAAAATTCCATAAATAATGCAACTCAACCTCTCTTTTGGCCTTTTGTGTTTGCCTTCTTTTGGTCCATTGGATGCTATCATATTCCCCTCTTGGTATCCAAAGTTTGTGTCTACGATTAAGAAACGTATTATTATAATTATTATCATAGTCACACATTAATTATATTCATATACACAAATATACAAACTTAATTAATTATTTTGGCTTCAACCATAAAAGTGCTTAGATGTATAGTTAAATTTGAATAGATATGCATACAATTATGAAATGAGCAGCAACTAATTAATATTGTTACAAACTTCATTTTATATCTCAACTTGTATTTTATTAATTATTACTGTGTCACTATTCTATTTGAATATGGACGCCGGTCTTATTAAACTCAACCGGTCAATATTCAAAAAAATTAGTTCGACGTCATTGTAAAGCATTATCTATCATTTCAACGTTTAAAGAGAAAAACATGATTTTGATAAACCAAAGACATTACATCAGAATTTTATATAAAGGTATGTTTTTCGGATATGAGGTCCCATTCCTCTATTCTGTTCTTTGAAAGCTATAGTGATGCATTATTTTGAGCATGAAATATCGACATTTTCTTCTTCTTCTTTTTTCAGCATTAGTTTTCTAGTTTATTTTAGTTGGAACTTTGAAAGACAGATACGTTGTGGGTTCAATGTTAGTATGTTACAAGTACAAGTTACAACTAGAACACAAGGTCAGGGACCGACATGATTTTAATTAAACATCCCCGCTTTGAAAGACTAATATTCACTTTGCTTTGTATGAAAAACAATATGGGCTAGTAGATAAAGAGGATAGGCCCAAATTCTTAGGCCCAATAGAAACCCAGATAGTAATTGATCTGTTTTGTTTCTTCGCAATTAAAAGCCCACATAAACATACTAATATGGAGGCTCTTTAATTTTCATCAGGATTATCCCCACCTCCGCGAGATAACACTCTTGTACAACGTTAGCTTGTGTGCCAATTTGGGCTGAAGCCCAAGTTAATAACAAGTTTGTTTATATCAGGCTCAAGTCCATAAGATACGTTTGAGGCTTTTTATGTTTTGTACTAGTAGATTTCAATTTGAGGAAATCTTTTTTTTTTTTGGTAGGACTTGAGGAAATCTTATCACCAACCAAAATTTAGACTATA